GTTCAGTAAGGTGCAAGATACCTACATCAATGCGTTAACCAAAAAGAGTTTAGCCTATGATGACGATAAATTCATTCACTATCGGATCCCTCTTGAAGCATGAGTTTACTGTTGTACTTAAGAAACAACAGGAATACAAGCTCTGATGATAATGACATCCCAAATGAGCGTGAAAAGAAAAAAACGAGACGCTTAACGACATTTAGAGTAAAGACAGGATTTGTTGCCAAGATTCTTGTGCAAGTACTCTGCAAGTACAAGAAGTAGACAACTCACAAGAAGCACTAAGGTTGCTGGACCTAATTTTAAGGCTGCATACTTTCTTGTTCGTCAGTCTTTTCCCATGACAATTAGAATAATTTTACAGATACTGAAAGAGGTAGCCTTGGCTGAAGTAGGGGCCATTTAAGCTTCCAAGCCACGTAAAAAATTCTTTCACTGTGTCAACTACGAAGATGATTCAACCAGATCCAGTAGTTGATCATCAACTGAAATACAAAAGAGTTTTATTACCTTGAGTAAACAAAGAAAAAGCTTAAGAATCTCTAATCCATATAATCAGGAGTGCAAGATCACTGGATTAAGCCAAAAAAGGAGCAAATGTCAGAAATTTACCATGAAGTTGTCAATGCTGGGGCATGATCAATTCCAAGGACAATCTAGTAGACAAATAATGAGACTCCACCCAATAAATAAAACAAGAACTAATTCATGTTGCATACATCTTAGACATACTTAAGAACATCACATTTATCATTTTTCGCATACCTAATTTTTTGCAGCTTTAAAGTCAAGTTTCAACTTCAAGATGAAAGGAAAAATGCATTCAAAAATTGATGGTGGTTGCTTTACTCAATAGCGAGGAGCTACACCTCAACTAACTTGACCTATTGAAAGATCAATAGATCTTAGAATCAACTTCAAAACGGATCCAGTTCAGCTTAACTCAACGACGAGTGGTTAGTTTCCAAGTAAAATTTCTGAGCTAGATTTTAACTGCACGATGGATGATATCCAGCTAAAAGACTACTTCACTTGTCTTTCTCACAAAGAGGAGTCACTCGAAGAACATTTCTCATGGATTCCCGTGAAAGGGAGTCATCCAAAGATCACCTCACTTGGTTCAGACATGCGAAGGGGAACCACCTGAGGAATATACCACATGGATTTCCCGTGAAGGGGGCTCATCCAAAGATCATCTCACTTGGTTCAGACCCGCGAAGGGGAACAACCTGAGGAATATACCACATGATTTCCCGTGAAGGGGAGTCATCCAAAGATCATCTTACTTAGTTCAGACCCACGAAGGGGAACCACCTGAGGAATATACCACATAGCTTTCCCATGAAGGGAAGTCATCCAAAGATCATCTCACTTGGTTCAAACCCGTAAAGGAGAACCACCTAAGGAATATACCACATGGCTTTCCCATGAAGGGGAGTCATCCAAAGATCATCTCACTTAGTTCAGACCCGCAAAGGGGAACCACCTGAGGAATATACCACATGGCTTTCCCGTAAAGGGGAGTCATCCAAAGATCATCTCACTTGGTTCAGACCCGCGAAGGGGAACCAACCGAGGAATATACCACATGGTATTTCCGTGAAGGGGAGTCATCCAAATATCATCTCACTTGGTTCAGACCCGCGAAAGGGAACCACTTGAGGAATATACCACTTGGCTTTCCCGTGAAGGGGAGTCATCTAAAGAATTATGACCGACTTAGACCTGCAAAGGGGAGTCATCCTTCACTTAGAGGAACCGTTCACAGCATAGCTAAAGGCGAGAAAGGTTATATGTTAACAAAAACTTTTGAGTTCAATTCCATTCAGCTCGATGACATATCAACTGCATGGTAGAGCGAGGAATTACTTTCCGATTGAAGCTTAAATTGAGGCCTTTAAATCAAGAAGAATACCTGAGTTGGTTGCGATTTAGCAACAATGAACAATATCCCAACTAAATTTACAGCATAGCTCAAGCAAAGAAGGGCTATCTATCAACAAAAACTTTCGATTTCGATTCCATTCAGCTATAGGGCATATCAACCACATGATAGTATCGATGAGCTACTTTCCGGTTGAATTTTAAAATTGAGGTCTTTAAACTGAGAAGAAGACTAAGGTTGACTATGATTTGGCAATAAGAAGCCACATTCCGATTCAAATTTCAAACTACGATTTCAATTTCATGAAGAATGATATCATTTCAAGACTGACTCAACTTCGTGATGGAGAAGTCATCCGCAACTCAATTTAATAGGGAGTTATTCCTAATTACAATATCAGAGTCAATTTTCAACTCCACAATGGAGGATATTATACTCAGGGACCTCTTCATACCGAACGAAAATTTATGTCCTTTTATTTTTGTCCTATTTTTTGTTACACGAAAAAGGAAAAAGAGGGGCAGCTGTAGACACCCATTTTCCTCCGGGGCTTATTTAGTATATATATTAATATAGTATGGTTTCTGAAAACATTTTTGAACATATATAATATATGGTTTTGAAAGCATTTTCAAAAATATATATAATATTATTATTTTTAAATATAATGCCATTTTATTTACTTATTTATTTATTTATTCATTTTGTTACTTTTATTTTTATTTTTTAGGAGTCCAATAAGTCCAAAACAGTACAAGAGGCCCAGCAAGGACCCAACCGGCTGGAGACATGGGCATGACTCTAGGCATGACACGATCTGACGTGACAGTTTCTAGAAGTTCCAGTCAGCGTTTATGGATTGGCCGCACGTTTCTGGAATTCGGATTTGAATTAAACTCAAGTTTAGGATTTAAGATATTATTTTAGGAATTATTTTTAGCTTATTTTTAAGAATTTGAAGACTATAAATATCCTCTCAGGGTGAGCCTAGAAATCAAACACATCTCTCTCACATCTGAGAATAAAACTTCCTTTTTCTCCCTAGCTTTCTCCCTATTTTTTGCAACACTTCTTTATTTTCTTTTAAATTTCGTTTTCAACAATTATGCTAAGTATGACTTTGGTCATGCTTAGCTAATTTTCTTTAAGTTGAAGGCTAAAGAGAAGGCTCGATCCCAAATGTGAGAATTCATATTCGACTTTCCAAGAACACACTTATCAAAATTATTTGCTAAGAGGAACCTGAGATTAGAACCAGTTATTGTTAAAACAAAATAATCCGAGTCAGCAGCGAATAATTGTCCTTGTAATCTCACGTGAATTTTGAAGTAAAGATCTGTTTCGATGATCCGAGGAAATTGAGGCAAAGCTGAAGTCTAAGGTTGCTTTCACTATAAGTTTCTCTTTATCTCAATTTATTTAGATTATTTATTTAATTATTTTCTTTTATTTAATTCTTATCTTTTATTTTAAAAACAACTTTTAAAAACCCTTTTTTATTTTTACTACTATTATTTATAATTTTATTATATTTCCCTTGTATTTTCTTTAAAATTTAACATTTTTTTATTTTGTTTTATTTTTATTTTGCCACTTATTTTTTATTTTATTTTGTTTTATTTTTATTTTCTCTTTTAATATTTTTTATATTTTATTATTTTTCTTTTCTAAAATTTAATATTTTCTTCATTTTTTTCTTTTAACATTTTTATATAATATTTTTTTAAATTTAATATTTCCTTCTTTGATTTATTTTTTAAAATTTAATTTTTATTTGATATTTCTTTTATTTTATAATCTAACGTTTTAACTTTTTAGAGGTAATTTCAATCGATCAAAATTAAGTAATTCGAATCGAGATTTTAAATTTTAATTTTTGTAATTAAGACAACCGACAAATTAAAATGGTACCGAAAGGGTAGTTCAAGGGTGCTAATCCTTCATTGACTGTAACTGACTCCCGAATCTGACATATTTTTGGTAAAATATAGATCAGGTAAGATGGTGCCCAATGAACCTAAATATTTTTTTTAAATGATCGGTGGCAACTTTAACGTGTTTTATTCAAGTTGAAGCCAAATTATGGGCCCACCCGAAAGACGACCACAACAGATACCATAGGTTTAGTATCGATACCATCAGACCCAACGGCTAGTTTTATTTAAAAATAACAAAGGTAGTACTGATACTCCCTATAAGAGTACCAATACCCTCTGTATTAAGAAATTTTATTTTGCAGAGAAAACATCCCCCAACGGCTCCAAATCACTCCCAACGGCTAGAAATGGCCACAATCATTCACTACAGCAAAATAGAGTTTTAGCGGTGTTTTTTTAGTTTTATAGCGGCGTTTTTAAGCGCCGCTAAAAGTATTTATGGCAATAGGAAAAACGCCGCAAGAAGCGCGGGCAATACCAGCGCCGCTAAAGTTATGATATATAGCGGCGTTTCTAGAAAAAAACGACGCAAAAGGTCAGATCTATAGCGGCGTTTTTGGATACAAACGCCGCAAAAGATAAGACCTATACTGGAGTTTTTAGAACAAACGCCGTAAAAGGTCATACCTATAGTGGCGTTTTTGGACACAAACGCCGCAAAATGTTAGACCTATAACGGCGTTTTTGAACACAAACGCCGCAAAAAGTCAGACATATAGCGGCATTTTTTGATACAAACGCCGCTAATTACCTTTATTTAGCTAATACTAATTGATTTTGCATATTTCATTTCTGCTATACATCACCTAAATTTATATCTAGCTTTATCTAATTAACAACAACCATACATTTTAATTAAGACAAAAAACATAAAGAAAAATTCTTAACAACAAAATAAATTAAAGTTTTTTTATGGAGAGAGAACCTTAAAAGACATTAAAGTATAAATGAGTTACAACTGAACCTCAAAGTGTAGATATACATGGATTTGTTGTTCGATACATCCTCAATTTCACTAGCGTCATCATCATAACCTCCAGATATGCCTTCTAAACCTACTTTGTTTCCCACTTTATTAGAATTTGTCATATTCATCGTCTTGACATCTTATTTGAAAGTATCATTTGACAGTGAATGATCTCTCCTCAATAGATTAAAAACAAATGGGAAACGATGTGCCAGTCTATTGAAGAAGCCGCTTTTTGTTGAAGTTTGTTCTTCAAGATTACTGCAATTACAATAATTTAGATGAGACTAAGAAGAGAAGGAAACAACCAGCAGAACTTGCATTCATAACATACATGTGAGTGATTGAGAACTGAAAAAAGATGTTGCAACAAACAACAAAAATAGGAAGTCAGGAACCATGAAAACTAAAATATATTCTACATAAGAATGTAAAAAATGTCATCATAAAGAAAAAAAATTAATAATGTATTGGTTGCCATCTTACTTTTAGAAGTTAGAATTTTTACCCCAAGAATCTGAGCAAGTTTGTATTCTTAGAAAAGTTAAGGAAATACAAAAGAGGGATAAGCAATGAAATCTTATAATTTTGGATCAAGAAAGCATGCATGTCTAAGTCCCTCAAAGTTCATAGGGAAAACCCTAGTAGGTTCAATCATTTCAAGATTGCTTCATGTGCCTTTTGATCCTTTTCATGATCAGTAAAATAAACAAATGAATCAAGGAACATATATTTCCAGTTATAACTTTGTACTATAAGAATTTTAGACGATAAAAAGAACTCAAAAAGTGAACTACTTACTCTTAGTAGTAAAGGAATGTGCCAAATATTTGGAACGTCATAGAGAGTGACAGTATTTTCGGCCTAGAAAGAAGTCATATTTCTTAATAACAGTAGTTACTGATTTAGGAGATGGAAGAGAAGCAGACAAATAGAATTCATGTTTCATTACCGGAACATGGCAAAACGGAGAGAGCTTTAACTTGACATTATCATCAAGTGCCTATTGCAAAAAAGGGGCAAGTGAATGAATAAGAAATGTCAAATTAGCACTACTAAATACAGTTGAAAAATATAAATAAGGGTAGAACCATTGTACTACAACAAGCAAGAATATTTGGTCTCAAGACAAGTCCTCTAAGTCCCCAAACACTGTGCTAACAAGCATGTTCCCTCATTGCTTGATTCTTCTGAATTCCTTAAAACGAAGAATTATATCATTACTTCAAACCCATAAGGATTGTACATATACAGAATACAAAGAGATAACAAAGAAAATATATTATATCTGAGTTTGAGCTTCGCAGCTCCTAGAAAAGTATCAAATTATTAGAGTGAAGCTTTCAAAGAAAAACATGGACCATAAAACTTTCGAGAGTTTGGTTATATTTTCTTCTTTCATTGCCAATGAAAGCTTGACCTCAGTACGGTATAATATAAACAAAAAGAAAAAAATAAAAAGAATAATATATTCAAGGACTTACCTGTATTTGTTACTAGCATGTTTATTGGCCACGAGTTTAAAGCTTGAATAGATCATCTTACTATAACACTTCACCATGAAGTTGTTTTGATATAAACAAAAAAAATCTCTTTTAAGTATTTGCACCAAAAGCTACTCATTGCTTATACTGAATTTCTTCTCCAATTGAAGTAATTGGAAGGCTAGTAACAATCAAGGACCATGAACTCTTAAATTGGTAATTTGAAATAAAAAATTTATAAATAGAATGGGAGATTTATATTTTAGTCCAAATGAAGGTACAAATACCCTAGTAAGGACTATCAAAACCAACCAGAAAAACATTATATAAGCATGCCAGAGCTTGTCCCTGCAGAAGAAAAACAACATCATGGTTTCAAAACTTTATAAAACTCCAAACTCAGAGAATTATGATGTACCACTCCAGTCACAATTGAATGATGAGTAAGCAAGAGAGAGTTCAACATGAATACACTTTATAAAATGATCTTAAGGAACAGTTCCATATTAATTAGTTCTACATGAAGATTAAGACCCTTTAGTTAGATGGATCACTTGACAATTATGCGTCCAAACTTGAACCTAAATTGTAGGCACTTTACCTATGATAAATCTAATTTTGAATAGAATTTTAGGAACTGAGCTTGCAAATGCACTACTTGTACAGAATTAAAGAAATTGAAATATCAATTGCTTTAATGTTAAATTTGTGGACCTTGGATTTCAAAGTAATCATTACTTCAATAAACCCCAATTCTATAGACATCATAAAATTTTCAACGACAATTTTATTCACTCGGCTAAAATGTAAGAAAGCATCTCAATTTCACAGTTCACGGCACCATCACCTAGTAACAGATAAGTGATTTCTTAACTTTCCAATCATAGGCAAACGACAACAAATTTAGCCAAAATTAGTTATGGTAAGCATAATCCTAAGTAAACAAGTGTAGTAAACAGAGTCAGCGGATTAAACCTGAGTAAACTCATGTAGTATGTCTCTATGTCTTGCAAGTTTCTGGGTTACCGAAGTAGTCGGTGCAGAAGATGCAGTACATCTACTCATACGATCAGTCCAACAGTTTCTCAAGCAATGATTGAATTTCAATTTCCATAGACTTCCATGATCTGCTTGACCCGGCCGGTGGCGACCCAGTATCTACATAATCTAAATGTAAGTAAATATTATCACAAAGAAGAAGAAGAAACGAAAGAGCACCAGATTCATAAGGCTTTGGATTCCTAAAACAGGAAAAAAATTCCCATTAAACAAATCTTATTTATTCAGATTTTAGAATATGTTCAGTTCTTCAACAAATTTGTTCCTAATTTCAATAATCTATTGGGGAAAAAAAGCAACACACATTCCAGAAAATAACAATAAAAAGGAGGAAAACGAGCAACCCTCCTGGATTGAACCTAGCACCTAGCTTAGCATAAGAAGATAGTTTGACATCGAGATCGCCTTCGATCTTTCGAGCTTCTTTCCTCAATTCCTCCCAACCCGATTCTAGTTGATTCAGGTTTAGATCCATCATTTGGATCTCGGTAGTTAAACTTCAGATTCTTTGCTCTTCAATTCCAGCGATGAGTTCTTTTAAAAATGTGGATAAGGGAATCTAAATCAGAGATAGCATAAAAATGCTAGTGAAACATATGGGTTTGGGGTTTGGTAGTGAAGAAGATGGGTTTAGGTAAACGACTGGATTGAAAAATGCTTGAAAGGGAAAAAAATGAAAAACGGCGCCATAGAGCTTCTCATCATCACTATGCCAGCCTATGTAGTCATTACCCCCTTTGTACCGATTCAAAAGCAAACTATTAAACATGCTCCCGGGAAGAATTTTATGGACCTTAAAGAAATAAGCAACCACATTAGATGGAGCCAGAGAAAGGCATAGTAAACACTGGTGACTGCCTACTAACCGCATCCAAGATGTCCTTAAGCGGGAGGAATTCATCCCAAGAATAAGCACGAGGTTGATATCCACTGTAAATCAAGTCGGGCAATCCAGCACTAGCTACATAACATGTGTCCCTTGGCTGCAAACATAGGCAAATGCAGAATTAATGATTAGTGGAACTGAAATTAAAGAAGTAACACCAACAACCATTCATACTTAAAAAAACATGCTTTTTCTCAAAGGCAAATCGATATCGGTTTGTTTATATATCCATCAGTAATTCAATACAACAAAATTGAAAATTGCAGTGATCTATGATTTTTAAAAGGTAGAATCACCAACCATTCATGCTTAAAAAACATGTTTTTTTATCTAAGACAAATCGATATCTGTTCATTTATATGTCCATCACTACAACAAAATAAAAAATTGTGGTGACCATATCAGATTATTTTTCTCCATGTCAAAAGGTAGCATTATCAACCATTCCTGCTTAAAAAACATGTTTTTTCTCCAAGGTAAATCAATATCATATTGTTTATAAATCCACCACTAACAACAAAATTGGAAATTGCAGCGACCATCATTGAGTATAGAATAGATCAAAAGGGAAGATACCAAACAGGTGATTTGTCGAAAAGCAAACAATTTCAACGGAACATAGAGAAATGCAACAGAAGGCAAAATAGGGTCATAACCAACACAAAAAAGTGCATACCACATTACTCTTCAACTGCCACTACAAAACAAATACCAAACTAAGAAACCATTAACCAAGTTAAACATTCAAATCGTGTGTCGATTAAACCATGGATAGAGTGACAATGGACTTAATCTCGAATCTTCAATTGATACCAGTTCATGATTATATCCTAAAAAAGCTGCCCATAGTTTCAAATACGCTAAAAGAGTGATCCTGGATTAGTGGCAAACAGAAGATATAAAAATTGCTTCTTTCCATAACCCATAAATCAAAGTTTCGAGTAAAATACAGGGAATTATAAGGGGGGGGAAAAGAGAACCTGCATGCAAGATCGACCAAAGACGTGAATGGTGGGTCTGGTCCAAGGAATGTGATTGTCGAGGTAACTGAAGAATTCCCATGAGACATCGTATGCTAAAAACTTGGGAACGTAAACTACACTGCTTCCGTTTCCAAGATCAACAATTTGGGCCTTTTTACCATAGTCGTTAGGGTTAGGGTTAGGGTTCGTTTTTAACTTAAAATCCATCAAACTCGTTGAAGCAGGTAGCCTTTAAACAGCAGAAATCTGGTAAAGCAGAAGCAGTGTAGTTTAAAGGGCGTGACACTTAAAATTTGTAAACTTGCGGCGTTTGTAAACACAAACGCCACTATAGTACAAGCGTATAGCGGCGTTTGAATAAAAACGCCACTATAGTACGAGTCTTTAGTGGCGTTTGTATAAAAATGTCAATAAAGTACGAGTCTTTAGTGGCGTTTGTATAAAAATGCCACTAAATTACGAGTCTTTAGTGACGTTTGTAAACACAAACACCACTATAGTACAAGTGTATAACGGCGTTTGAATAAAAATGCCACTAAAGTATGCGTCTTTAGCGGAGTTTGTATAAAAACGCCACTAAAGTATGAGTCTTTAGCGGCGTTTGTATAAAAACGCCACTAAATTATGAGTCTTTAGCGGCGTTTGTAAACAAAACGCTACTATAGTACATGTGTATAACGTCGTTTGTATAAAAACGCCACTAAAGTACAATTCTATAGCGGCGTTTGTAAAAAAATGCCACTAAATTACGAGTCTTTAGCGGCGTTTGTATAAAAACGCCACTAAAGTACTACTCTTTTACGGCGTTTGTTGAAAAAACGCCATTATCGATGAACCTATTGCGGCGTTTTTATAAAAACACTGCTAAAGTTACCATTTTGTGGCGTTTTCTATGTAAACACCGTTATATGTTTAAAATTAGTGGCGTTTACTCCTAAAACGCCGCTGTAGAACAATTTTGCTGTAGTGATTCCAACATGAAATACAAGTGCAAGACACTTGAAGAAGGGTTAGAACACCTATCCAAGCAATCAAACACAAGAGAATATTTTTTCACTCTTTATTCCTATTCTCTTGTAAACATTTTTTTCTTGTGAGCTTTGTTTTGTAAACACCCTACCTTTTAGAGGTTTTCTTTATTTACATTTCTTTCCTTGTAAAGGGGTTTTTGGTTCTAGCTGAGCCTTTGAAAAGCTAGGGAGTTATGTAATGGTTATCTCTTGATCTTGTAAAAAGAAAGAACAAATTAGTGAATTTGTTAGAAAATCCTTAGTGAGGAGCTAAGGTAGTGGAGGTAGACTTAGTTGAGAAGTCGAACCACTATAAATCGATGTGCCAATTTTTCTATCTTTTATTCTCCGAACTCCCTAAACAAATTTTTTTTCAATTCACCCCTTTGTACAATTTTCGGTTGTCCAAATTGAGCTTCATAAATCCCAACAAATCATTTTGATTTTCTAACAAATCTTAGCATCTTTGAAAATAACTCGAAGTTATTTTAGTGCTTTTCAATCCTCAGAATAGGGATTGTGTCGTCGCTTCAGCCCTTGGCTATGAATAAATTAGCTAAGTATGGCAATCATACTTAGCATCTTTGAAAATAAAAATAAAAATAAAACAAAGAAGAACTTTGAAAAAAGAAAATAAGTACTTTTATAAAACCAGAGGAAAGAAGAAGAATGATTTCTGAATGTGTTTCTAGGCTTACCCTGAAAGGGTATTTATAGCCTTTAAAATCCTAAAACTAAGGAAAATATAATTCCGAAAATAAAGAGATAATTCCTAATGAAAATACTTAAATTATTTAAACTAAAATATTAAAAACAAAGATAAAATAAAATATAATATTTAAACTAATATCCTAAAAACATGAGTTTAACTTAAATTCGAATTTCATAAATGGATAGCTAAATGGATAGGCGATGACTCGTCGTTGGCAAGTGGGAGATGGGACTGATATTCTATTTTGGAAGGATACGTGGTGCTGTGATGCACCTTTATATATTTTATTCCCAAGATTGCTTAGGTCGGTTGTTGAGAAAGGTGCGCTCATTTCCGAAGTGTTGCAGACCATTGAGTCGAATAAGGGGTGTTGGGAGAGTCTTTTTTCTAGGCCACTCTTAGATCATGAACAAGAAAGGGTCAGGCAGATTGTGACTTTGGTGGAGGAGGCCATTTTTCGTCCCTTTTTGCCTGACAGGCTAATGTGGATTCATGACAAATCGGGCTTTTTCTCAGTTAAAAAGCTTTCAGAGTTGATATTATGTGTGGAAGTGGACGAAAATCCCTTTAACTTTGATATAGTTTGGAAACTGAAAGTGCCGCCAAAGGTATCCTTAGGAGTTTTTGGCTAATTTCGGTAGGTGCTGCTCTTTGGAGTTTTTGACTAGCTAGGAATGATAAGATTTTTAACGTTAAATCTGAAAGTTTAGGTGATATCTTATTCTTCTCGAAGCTGCGTGCTTCGTTTTGGATAAAGGCAACCGATCGCGATGGTTCTTGCAATGTGGATGATTGGTGGGAAAACCCGAGAGGGACGAGCTTATCCTCATCATCGTTAGACTGGAGGAGGTTCGTTTAGTTAGCTTTAGCATGGCTGGAGCGGTCATAGATGATAAAGCAGGTTGCGGTGGTATTTTGAGGACAGAAGAAGGGCTGTTTAGAGCGATGTTCATGGATCCGTTGGATATTTGTGGGGTTGATTTTGCCACTTTATGTGCTGTTAAATTGGCGCTTGAAGTGTTTGTCGAGGCAAATTGGGATGGTAAGACTCCCTTGTTTGTGGAAGTAAATTCGCCTTTGGTTATTTATGGGTTTCAAAATATTACAGCTTGGGGAAGAAACACATGTCTACACCAATAATTTGCTATGCTAAAAATAACAGAACGGATGAGCTGCAATCTACTAGCAAAACTTAGATGTCTGTTAGCCCATGTGTTAAGCCTGGCTCTTATCTTGTCAACTAAACCTTGGCATTCATTTATTGAAATTTTCCTTGTCACGAGGGGAACTCCGAGGTATCTCACAGGGAGAATCCCTTGTCTAAATCCCGTAATCTCATGAATGATATCGCACTGAACAGAACGTAGGCCCTGGCATTGGTGGCCAATTTTTGTGGGGATCGATATGTTAGAAAAGAAGATTGGCATTGTTCACTTTGTTAATGTTCCTAGGGTTAAAAGTGCTTTGGCTTTTGGATTAGCGAAGGACGGAATGATGAGAACAAATTGTTTTAAAGCCTGGTGGTAACGGCGGTTGGTGTCAGTTTTCGAGCTAGCTCACTTTTGTTGTTAGTTTCGATTCTGGTTTTCTATGGTTACAGGCAGCGGTTTTGGAGAGCCCGAGTCTAATTTTGGCTGAGAGCTTATAATTGGGGAGGTTGACCTGTTTATGTTCCAGTTTTGGTGTGGGCGTTGAGAGTGGGTGGTTTCCGTGCTTTTGGGGTAGTAAAGGCTTTGAATTGTCTTATCTTAGGCCTTTGGTGGCTGCTCCATGTTTTGTATTCTATATACTATCATCTGTTTATAATTTTCTAGGGTTTAGCTATTGTTGTTAGAAGATAGTAGTTGCTTAGGTTCTTTTGCCTTGTTAATGAAATGTGTTATTTTCCTTATATAATTGTTTCAAAGATATTCATATTCCTTTGTGAAATTATTGTCTTTTAAATTGCCTATGTAAAACATTGCGATGTTAAGCTTTGATTCAGGTTACCTGCCGGACCAGCTACAGTCAATGTATGAGACTAGGCTCATTAAGCTCCCGTGACATTACGAGTTCATACTAACTGTCATAGAATATAAATTATAAAGTGACATTATATTAAGCGTCATTCATAACATTATTAGGTAACATTTATATTATGTCATTAAAAACGTGACAATATCTCTTTCGTCACATATAAGTTGATTTAGTGTATTATTTGTGACGATATACATCATCAATAAGGAAATTTTACATAATTAATTATCATTGAATATCAATTATAAAGTGATTTTATATATGAATGTCATTCATACTACTATTAGGTAGCGATAGACTACATTACTAATAATGTGACAATTTTTTTTCTGTCATGCACACAATGGAATTATTTTGTTATTGATGGTGATATGATTTATCAATAACAAAAATATACATCATTTGATGACGAAATTAATTGTCACTTAATACTTAAAATGAAACATTATTCATTAGTGTCACTATACGTTTAACAACACATGAATAAAAAAATATACATCGTCATTTTTGATATTTAGTTACACCTAGAACAATGATATTCATGACATCAATTTTTACATCACAAATATATAATTAATGATATAAATTGAAGTTTTAGTGACAATAACATAAATGTCACTAACAAGAAAATTTGTTGTGGTACGTAGTTTATCTATTTTATTTTAAACACAAAGCCCACCTCCCTTTCTTCAAAGAGTTTCCTTCTTCTGCTACCACAACACTTAGTCTCCATTAAACAAAGATAAGATGAAAAACAGAAAAACAAAAATGGCAGGCAGCCGGTTACTACCAAATGACCTTCAAGCTGAAGATGATGAATACATTGAAATGGAGGTGAGTTCTTACTCCAACTTCTTCTGCAACTCCTCCATAAATTCACCGCCTCCGCACTTCCCCAATGAGTTCGAATTCCAAATGTCTTCGTCTTCCATGGAAACCGAGCCCACAACTTCACCAGCTGATCAACTCTTTTACAAAGGCAAGCTTCTTCCACTCCACCTCCCTTCTCGTCTACAAATGGTCGAAAAACTCCTCCAGAATTTCACTTCTTCTGTCCACGAAGATTTCTATACGACGCCATTAACGACCACCGCAACCACCACTCCGTTTAAATCCTGCAATATTTTTCCTTCGGAGTCACGTCGGATTAACTGAGAGTTGAATCCCGAAGAGTGTTCGTTTGAGTACTCAACCGGTGAGAACCACCCGAAAAAACCGTCGTCCATCGGTTCAAAACTGAAGGGTTATAGGACTTATCTCAAATCTTTGCTTAGTGCATCGGATTATTCGAGTGAATCGTGTTCGGCGGCAAAAGTTGCATATGAAGGATCTATTCTAAGAGCTAAAGAAAGGTTGGGGATAATCTCAGTTTTCAATTTGTTGGGGAAGTTCTGATTTTTTAGCTTCAATTTTTTCTTCAGCCACTTGGAAAGGGAGGTGGGTTTTGTGTTTAAAATAAAATGGGTTAACTAAATCCTTAGTCTCTAAAGTCTCTAGGATTTTCGAAATTGAAAACTT